CAGCTTCTTTGGCCTTTGTGTATCTGAGCTCCTGCTGGCACAGCTCAACTTTTCATTTAAACCCAAATAGACTAAATCCTTCCACTTTTTACTCAGAAGGTTTCTCATTGTTGTAGCTGCTTCTATAAGTCTGACTATAAGTCTCCATGTTTTCAGGTTTTAAAGGCTTGTGTCATCATCTCCAAAGAAAAAGATCCTGAATAATTCCATTCAGGATCTCTCCAGCTATTCAAATCCTCAAGGGAGGCCGGCTTGTTTAATCTGAGCTCTGCTGCCCCCTGCTGGTCACAGTGGGCTCAGCCTGAGTCTCCTCCAAAGGCAGCAGGTCAAACTCTGCTCTTCTTAGCAATGCTTCAGCTGCTGCACACCTGATTCAGATTAAATGGATCTATTTAAAGATTTAAAGGCTTTTTCTTTGTCCTAATCTAAACACCTGAACAAACAAATGTTCCCACATAAACATTTATCTCCTGAATGGGAGGCTAACCTGTTTAATCTGATCTCTGCTGCCCCCTACTGGTCACAATCTGCAACCCAGCAGAGAGCTTTGCCCCCCATGGAGGAATGAGTGACTAGATGAGTGAAGATGAGTGTTGTTGCTTCTCCAAAAGAGCTAAACTGTGCAGTAACATTTAGTTATTCTGTGTGTAGGAACACGTATGTGCTGTGTTCACTCACCTGAATATGAAATGCTTGATGGAGAATATAGGGATTGCAATTAATAGGCCAGTGCAAAGCTCAACAATGTCCAGAGGAGATATAGTTTTATCAGAATATGGTGTGCCGATGAATGAAACAGCAGACTTCAAGGGCATCAGTTTGACATTCCCGACATAAGACATAAATGTAACATATTTCCCTCAAGGTTTTCTGTCAGGAGAGGGATTTGAACCCACACCTCCAGTGGAGTCTGCAACCTGGACACAGCACCTTGGACCGCTCAGCAATCCTGACAGATACAAGAAGTTTTTTTTTTAAATGTGGTCACTTTGCGACCACTGAAATTAGAAAAAAGGTGAGAATCTTTGTGGTTAAAAAAACACAGGGTCTTTGGAGAATGTGGCTATGGATCCTACTACCTCTCACATGCTAAGCGAGCACTCTAGCATTTGAGCTAAGTGGAGGAAATCAATTGATCAAATCATGTTCAGTTATAAAAG